CCAAAAAGCCGTTCCGAAAAAAAATGCCCACAGTGCTCGCAACATGCATTCTTCTATGGATTTCAACATGCTTACAACATTCCCCCTTTGTGGGATGCTGGCGCTCCACGTGGGCCCTCCGTTGTCGCCCCAAGACAACCCGATTACAACTCCAAAGAGGGCTCCCAAACGCTACGTTTCGCGGGTTTTCGCTCGGAGAAATGTGCTTCCCCCCCCTTGGAAATTCCGGGGGAGGAGGAGAGGGGGTAAACTCTCTGAACTCTCCTTCACGTCCTGCTCCTGATTCCAAAATCGGAAGGCGGGGGGGTGGTTTACTTTTCTCTCCGTCCACAAGGGGAAATACGCAGAAAGCATCTATACAACACCACCCTGCCTGGCCGGGGCCATCCTGGGCCCTGGCATGGTGCATACGCCTCCTGGCCGAGGCAAGAAAGGTCTATACACCATCGTGGAGCCCAGGGTGGCCCTGGCCAGGCACGGTGGTGGTGTATAGATGGCATCTCAAGGAAAGGCAGGGGCGGCAGCGGCGACGACGACGACGACGACGACGGCGGCGGCAGCAATGGACGGCGACGGCGACGTTGCCGTTGCCGATGCCGACCACGCGAGCACGAGCACGAACACGACACCGACGCTGAGCACGACGCGCGAGCACGGGGCGCGAGCACTGACGCTGAGCACGATGCCAACGACGTCGACGACAAGCCGGTGATGACAACGACGACGACACCCAGCGCCGGCGACGACGACGATGCCGACGCCGACGATGTCGACGCCGACGCCGTTGACGACGACGCCAACGCCGACGCCGATATCGAGCACTACGCCGACGCCGATCCCGACGCTGGCGACGACGATGATGCCGAACACGAACGCCGACGCCAATCCCGGCTCTGGCGACGACGATGATGCCGAATACGACGCCGAACATGATACCGACGACGCCGACGCCAGCAACAATGCCGAGGCAACCGACGAAGAGCAAGACGCCGAGCACAATGCCTACGGCGACGCCGACGACGACGCCGTCGCAGTCGTGACGACAACAACGCCGCTCAGAGGATGACGACGACGAGCACGACGCGAAGGAGAAGGACAATGACGCCGAGCACGTCGCCGAACACGACACCGAGCACGACTGACGCCGTCGCCGACGCCAACGCCGAGGCCGACGATAATAATGATACTAAGTGCAACGCCGAGCACGACGCCGACGCCGACAACGACGCTGTCGCCGACCTCGCGGGACACGCCGCTGAGCGAGCACGACAATGACGCCCACGCTGGCGCCGACGCCAATGCCGACGACGACGTCGACGCCCGGCGTCGACACCGACACCGCCGCCGACGCCGACGCTGACTTCGACGCCGTTGTCGACACCGCCGACGACGCCGCCGCCGACGACGGCGACGCCAACAACGAGCCGAACACGACGCCGAAGTCGACGCTGGCGACGACGATCACGACGCCGTCGTCGTCGTCGTCGTCCACCCCCCTCATGGGTTCGAACCCGCGGGGTGGGCATCTCCCAACCTCCCCACTTCCCCGGACTCCGAACCGAGGGTGCCGACCACGGAAAAGGTCTTGTCCGCATCAGAAGCACGACCCAGAGGGCTTCAAGTCGGCCCAAGACGGCCCCACGATAAGCCTGGGAGGAGCCCAAGAGGGGGAACACGAACTTCTCTTTAACCATCGAAATCGTAAGCAGGCTCTCGCGAAGCACCCAGTCAGAAATAGGTCCCCAGCAGGTATGTAATTGCCAGAAAAACCTCAGTGAGATGTCCCCGAAACGATGCCGAAAGGCACGACTCAAACACGGTGGCGCGATGGGCCGACGCCCATTCGATGTTTGGCGGAATAAGAATGGCAAAACGCTGGCACAAATATGACGTACTATGTAAGCTGTCACCATGTGCGACCAATGAATTGGCCACGGCAACAAATTCTCACCACCACCGTGACGAACGCACGAGCTCCCGCCATTGTCGGAATCCTTGCCGAAACGCTCCAAATGTTTGGAAATTCCGTCCCCCATTTCCTCGCCAAGTGTGCTCTCTATGCCAATGCTGTCCGTCCATCTCACTTAAGGGGTGCCATTCTGCCGACCCCCGCAGTGTATTTCAAGCTGCACGGTTTGCCAGAACAGGAAAAAAGCGTAGGGAGGCGACGAAGAACGATACTATGTCCGAGGGAGCAAATAAGCAAGAAGCTGACGTACGTACTCGTTCATACGTTGCTGGCGTACTACGTCGTTGCAAGCTGCAAAAAATGCTCTATTAGAAACAACTGCGACACATGTGATCAATCGATGAGGGTAATGACTCGGTGGCGTAGTGGTCGCAAACTTGCATCGCTTCCATGGGCTATCACATTTACGATATACCACGTGAGACTGAAATCATACCAATGCTGCAATGCAATCAAACTTCGGTCATGACTGGTCGTCTGGGTGACGGTGGTACGTGTACCCACCATTTCGTAAGCATATGAACGTCTCGATTGCGAATGACCTTTGGAAGAGTTCTGACTGTCCAAATCCCGAAGACGACCCTGAAATATAATCCGATAAGCATCAAATAATTGCGCCCGTTCGGACATCTTCCGGATGAACTCATGCAATTCACTTCGAAAGGGACGTGAAACGTGAAACGGCATTGGTGATGATAAAGATAGTTGCGCCGAAGTGTTCAAGAGCCTGGGGGATCGAGGGAGAGGTTGCTCCTTCGCGAGGCATGGGGGCATTGGATCGCGTCATGGGACGGGTTCGGTGCGTGCGGTGGGGCCAGAAGGGGCCGTCGAGCGGGTTGCCGCCCATATTGTATAAGCATGTTTGAAGGGAAACTGGAACACACACAATAAATACACACAAATAAAAGGATCCCCCATATTTTCCCATATTTTCTTGGCTTTTGTCTTCCCCCCCCACTTCCCATATTTTCCCATATTTTCTGGGGAATCGACGATTAATTGCGTCTGTGTGTTTTTCCCCTCCTGAATGTTGGAGTACCAGCACGTGCGCACGAACAGAGATGCTGCCGAGCCTCAGCTGGGAGGACGCCCGCCGACGCGGCGCTGCGCGAGGGTGGGCGGCGAAGCTCTGGTCGAGAGGGGGAGGGGGACCGAGGCAAGGGAGGCAGAAGGGAGGCGGGAGGAGGGAGCGTGGGACAATCAGCTGCTGCATAACACGGGCCTGTTGTGCAACGCCGTGCGCATGGCATACGACAAACAGACATGTGTCACAAGAAACCCTTCCGAGGTTGTCCCGCGAACGAATTTTATGCCCATGACCACTTCCAGCAACTTCTTCCGAATACTGTGTATGCGAAGCGCTTGATATAATTTCTCGAATGCCTGACGAACGAGATGCAAAACTATTTGATTCTGAGTCGTCGTCAGAATCGATCACCGTGTGCCCGTCGCTGAGAAATCGCAGAGACACTTACCAAGTCCTATCGGATGGGGCGAGGCCGAACGCAGCAAACAAAAATGGATTACCAAACGGGCCTGGTTCGAACTGGAATGCAAACGGCCTGAATGCAGTATCGGCCCCGTCCTGCGAAACTAAGTGCTCAACGATGGAAGGTTGAAGAGCGTTGGGGTAGATCGCCAGAGGCCCAATCAATGACCACTCAGCGATTCTTGAACGTGTTGGCTCCCGATGGGCGGCCTCAAGATGGCCCCAACACGGCCCTGAGAGGGGGCCAGCGGTGGTTCAGAACGAAGTGAGACGGGAAGTCGCCCACCAGGAAATCGGTCTCGGTTCGTGTCGTGCGTGCGGGCCAGGCGACGCCGTGTTGGCGGTAGGCATCGACGGAAAGGCCGACTGGTCTGCCCGGGCGTCCTCTCTCATGGACCCTGATCCCACTGCTCCCGCGGAGCCTTCACCCCTTCCCTGGAGAGATTCCCACACTTGTACGGTCTCCCGCCTTCATTGGTCCCAGGCTCCTCCCGCCCTGGAGACGGTCAACGAGCGACGACGTGGCCGTGAGCTTAACGAACGACTATGGCGACGTGGCCATGGGCTCGACGGGCAACAACGACGTGGCCGTAGCTCACCCATCTTCGCGTCTCGTAGGCGCAACGAACGACAACAACGGTACTTTGAGACCGCCTCTCTCTTCCGTTTGATCGCCATCCAGGTCCTCCCGGCAATGGTAAGGCCCACCCCGAACGCTCTCGCTGAGCTCCGCGTGAAGTCCTGCCAGCCCACGCGTACTCGGCTGTTGCGTGCTCCCTGCCAAAACTTGGCCTCTTATGGCGCCGGCCTCTGGCCGCACCTCGCGTGAGGCCGTTTGTAAGCTCAGGTTGTCAATTTGGGCGTCCGCGTGCTCAGATTGCTGCTCGGGGCGCGTGCGTGCTCAGGTTGCCGATCGAGGCGCCTCCGTGCTCAATTTGCCGACTGGGTCCGCCTGCTCGGACAGATGGGGACGGACGCCGTCTCCATCGGGTCTTGCAATGACCATCTCCACCTAGTGGGCACGGCCGCTGGGAAAGCTACAATCTAATCATAGCCGAAGCACCGTGGCCAGGCAATGAGCCCCTGCCCACGGACGGAAAGCCCCCTCGAGAATATCCGAATCGAGCAGCATTCCAAGGAAGAGAGCCCACACGCGAGAAAGATGAGGCACAACCCTGGTGCCTTCTGCAACCAAGGCGAAGCTAACGAGAATGATGATGCATTCGGATGAATCTACATACGACCTTCGAGAACCAGCGGGTCTGGAGGACGAAGTGGGCGCCGTTGCCTTTCCAGAGCGCCCCAGAACGCACTGTGAACACCCAAGGAAGCTCTGAGAACGATGTACCCTCATCCCAGGCCTGCCCGAAAACCCGCATGCCGCTCGTCTCGGTCGGGGCCAGGATGGTCTGACGACGATGATGTGCCGATCCTGTAGCTCCTCGGGGCCTGGATCGGCCTCCGGCCAGGACCCCGCGCAAGCGGACGACTGGCGCCCCCCGAGAGGGGGAGGCATTGCGAGGAACTGCTGGCCAGCATGCCCTACCTACCGGCATCTATAAAACAAAAACAGGCTTCTGCCGGAACTGGCCCTCCATCGCCTCGCTCCACGAGAGAAAATGATACGCGGGGAAAAAGGGAAAGAGGGGATGAGCTTGCGGGGGAGGCGAAGAGAGGAGAAGGGATGATGAGAAGGGAAGAGGTGGGGAGGAGAAGGGAGGAAGACAAGGACAACGACATGCGCCCCAAAAAACCTCTGATCGACTAAACTACCACGATCTACTCTAGGTTCGGAAGAAAATCCCCCAAGGGAGTTGAAAGCGGGGCGAGGTGGACTCTCGGAGCATCGCCGAAAGCTAGCGTCCCGCCCCGAGGACCGCCAGGGGCACGCGTTACCCAAAACGGGGCCCAGCGAAGAGTAGGGAGGACAATGCGACAAAGACAGGGGGACGACTAAGGCCCCAGGGCCACAGGAGGACTCGGAGGACGGGGAAGGGGGTCGACTCTTCGCTCGAATTCATCCCTCGCGAGTCGTACAATATGAGCGCTACGAGACAGTTTCTCAAAGATGGGGTCCCCTGGACAACTCTGGCGGTTTTTAAGCTATTCTCTAACACAGACTGAGTCAGGGGCTTCCCAACGTCCACCGCTCCATTCAGAAGGTTCGGGGGGCCTAGACCTCGAAGTTCGAGGCGGCCTTGGGGTCGAGGAGAGAGGTGCCGAAGCCGTTTGGCGGCGGTGGCACTCCCGCCGTCAGCCTCGAAACAGAAGAGGCGAGCGGACTCGTAGTCGGAAGCCTCGGAGCGGTAGGGCTCGAGACTGTAACGCCCATCTCCACGAGGGAAGTCCGAGCCGAGGGCGATTCGGGAAGCGTGAAGTTCGCTTCCGTCACTCCATAGCTCTGCACCAACAAAAATATCGCCGATTCCATGCCCATTCGCTGCGCTCTCCCTGCCCTCTGTCTGCGCCGCACTCTGGTGGCTGAGTGGGCGCGTGGCGGCATGGGGAAGACGACTTACTCTTTCGTGAAGACTCCCAGCCGGTCCTGAAACTCGCGCTCGAATGTGGCTGACTGGCGCACGCCCCTGCTTCCACATCGCCCCCGTCTGAACCATGGAGTCGATGATGCGCTGGCGGGTCTCTGGGTGCAGGTTGAGCATGAGCTTGCGTTTGTTGACGTCGTAGTATCGGTCCATTTTTGCAGAACTTGATCATGCCGCATTTCTTTGCCATGTCCCAGGTCTCGATGACCTGCCTCATCTCCATGATAATATTGGCGTTGGCGGCTCTTACTGCGTCGCTGTGTTAGAGTAGCGCCGTGAGGAGGCCGCCAAACACCCACAAGTGTGGGGGGCCGTGGGCGTGCTCTTTGCCCGACGCGGTGGCGGCTTCGCTGTTCTTCAACCCTTGCGCGCCCATCTGGATGGCTTCCTGGCCGGTGCCGTCGAGGATCAGACAGTCGAACGCCACGCCCTCGATGTTGCGCTTGGATTGACCAAGCTGGAGTATGGACTTCAACATCAGCACTTGCAGGGCCTTCTGGGCGCCCTCGAAGCCAAGGTCGGACTTGGCGTGCTGGCCGTCGCTCTTGGCCTTCACTCTCCGCGGCAGCTGGGCCATCGTCTCTGGTGCGGCCCCGCCCCCGGCGGGAGACTTCTCGGTCCCGTCTCGCTGGGGCCCCCGTCCGAGGGTCACTGCGCCCCTCTCCTCGCGCTCGAGGAAGAGACTGCAGCGGGCTGGGGGCGGAAAAGGTGATGTGAAGTGACGTGCTCGTTATACTCGTCAATCGTGTCGAATATGATATCGCAGCACAGGCGTCGATTCTCACTCGGGGGTGTAAGAGGCCATCGAAACGAAGCTCGGCCCATTCGGCGTGCTCGACTACCCCACGCGCTTCGGACATGTTGGCGAGCGCTGTCTTTAGTAGAGAATGTTTGTTTGCACCATGGGCACATGTTACACGTGGCGCGTGTGCAGAGTGGGTTACGTTGTCCATGTTCGCCTCCTCGAGACTGGTACATGTGTGATGTGGGGGCTCCAGGGAGCGAAAAGGATTGTGAGCATATCAGTCCGCGCCCGTCCGGATGCGCGCGCGCAAATGCGGTGAGACCCTCCTCCGTCGGAGGTTCCATTGCCCGAGCTGGCCCTCGGAGGCGGCGAAAGTATGCGGTCTCTCCCTCGGTGAGGATGGCTGCCTTCGAGAGAGCGTGATCCACCGCCGCTTTACTGTGGAAAATTGCTAACTTTTTTCCTCCGGAACCCGGGGGTCGCCCCCCCCCCCCCCCCCCCTCCGAAAATCCCCCCCCCTGCTGGAACCCCTCCCCCCCCCCCCCCTCCTCCCCGGCAAAACCACCCCCTCCCCTAACCCCTCCCCCCCCCCCCCCCTCCCCGCTCGAAAACCGGGAGGGGGTCACTACCGGTTCGAACCCCTCCCCCCCCCCCCCCCTCCGGATTCGGAAAACCGGGGGGGTCACTACCGTTCGAACCCCCGCCCCCCCCCTCCCCTCCCCCCCCGTATGAACCTTGATCCCGGACCATTTGGCCAATGAGATCCGCCTAGGCCACCTAGGCGATCCAGGGATCTATGTTATCTGGGGGGGGGGGAGAGGGAGAGGAGAAGGAGGGAGGAGGAGGAGGAGGAGGAGGAGGAGGAAAAGGATGGGAAGGAGGAGGTGGATTAGGTGGGGGAGGAGGGTGGGTTAGTCGGAGGAGGAAGGGAAGGAGGAGGAGTAGGAGGAGGAAGACGACGACGACGATGACATCGGAGGAGTGGGAGCATTCTTGGGACATCAAGACCTGGGGTTGCTTAGATGTGTGGGCCACTTTGAAGATCTGCCGGGCTCCTCTGTGCCGCTCTGAAGCCCGATGCGTTACAGTCGGATTTTATTCGTAGGTCGACCCTGCCAGATGAAGGGTGCCCTTATGTCCTGTCTATCCCGTCCCACGTCCTCTGCGCGTCTTCTGGTTGTTCAGGGCCGCGTTGTCCTCGGAAGAGTCTTGTGTCCTCTCGGGTGTCCTGTCCAATTAACTTCGACTGTATGTTTGCCAGCATCGTCGTCATCATCGTTACCTCCGTCTCCATTTTGGCTCAAGCGGTTTCTTACTACTGGGAACAACATCCTCGATGCACTTTGCAAGTGGTGCGCCATGTCGACCTTTCGCTGTTCAGGGATTCTCGGTGTGGCGCGACTGTTTGCTGCCAGGCATTCTGTGGCGCTGCAAGAGGTTAGCGGCCGCCGCGCCCAAGCAGCGTATTATGATTGCCTGGAAGAACACAATCTGTTGCAAGATGTGTATGTGAAATATCATGTTATGAATCAGCAGGGTGAGGCTCACGATGTAAGGGTTCGCAGGTCCGCAGCTGCAATCCTTACGAACTGCAAGATAAACGAGGAATACACAGACCCTCAGACGGTCCTCTGTCTCCGCATCATAGACAAAGTCAGGGCGAAGTCATTCGAACGACGGATGGCCGCCGCAGTGTGTGCCACGATCAACGGCCGTGTCTTTCTGAAGGAATTGTTAAAGAAACTGCCGGGCGACGGTTGGACAGGCGATCAGTTTTGGGAAGCTGCTCATACTTTAGTGAACAAGATTGACCCCGAAGAGCTTTTCACCGGCGCCTTCAACCGGCAGGCGTTCAATTCGTGGACCAAACGTGATCTGGCGAACAAGCGCATGCACAGAATCAGAGACAAGTTGAGTGGTGATATCAATTTTGACAACGCATCGCGCCTGGAAGTGTCATTAGACCTTGTAAGAGCGTGCGGCAAGTTCTTGGGCAAGAACGCCTTTTCCTTGTTGGAGCAGTCCTACGCGAACAACTATCGCCGCCCCGGGTGGTGCTCGCAACACGGGTCGCTCATGGGGCCCGGCGCCTTGGCGGGCGTCAACATCATCAACGGGACATGGAAGCAGAGCGGGACGGGCAGCACGCAGCTCGGGGATGTGTTGCAGCAGTTCGACGACTCCCACGCTAATATGCAGAAGCTGCGCCGCTTGTTCCGGGAAGATTTGCAGTCTCTCCAGGTGTTGGTCAAGAAGACACGCGGCGCGAAGCGGGCCCTGGCTAGGGAGCTATGCGAAGCCGTGGAACACATTCTTGGTATGTCTGACACGGGCTTGCAGTTCGTGTACTGCGAGATAGCCAAGGTCGTCACGTTCCACTACAACCTCCACAAGCGGTACTGGCGCCTGCGCAAGCTGCGCGGCGACGCGGGCAATGCGGCTGGCAGCGACGCCGAGGACGGCGACCACGGGAGCGACAACGACGACTGAGCTCGTGGCGCGCACATGGCGGGCAGGCGCATCGGTACCACGATGGAGCTTGGAAGCGCACCGCCACGATGAACGTCCAGCGATGTCTGTCAAGCAGCCGCTGCGCCTGGAGGGCGGAGTGGCCCTGGCGGGAGCGATCCTTCTTCGCATGAGAGTGCTTTGCACGCAGAAAAACAGTTCCTGCCCGCTATAGCTTTTGGGGGGCCAGAAACCTGGTAGCAGGCAAAAGCGTTTCGGAGTGTTTGGGTTTTTACCAGTGTCCTTCGAGGCCCGACTGACGGCCGTTGCGATTGATTATCGCGGCCACAGAAAACGACGACTTTGCGAAGATAAAGCTTATGGGGCCCTGCCCAAAAGCACAAAAAAACGCTCTTGCCCACTAGGGCTTTTTTGGGGTCGGAAACTTGATAGTGGGTAAGAGCGTTTTGGCTCGTTTTGGCATCGCCCAATGTCAGTCGAGGCCCGACTGACTGCCGCGGCGATTAAGTAGCACGACCATAGCAAACAATAACTTTGCCGAAAGAAAGCCCAGGGGCCCAGCCCAAAAAACACCCAAAAAACGCTCTTGCCCACTAAGTCTTTTTTGGGGTCAGAAACCTGATAGTGGGCAAGAGCGTTTTGGCTCGTTTTGGCATCGCCCAATGTCAGTCGAGGCCCGACTGACTGCCGCGGCGATTAAGTAGCACGACCATAGCAAACAATAACTTTGCCGAAAGAAAGCCCAGGGGCCCAGCCCAAAAACACCCCAAAAACGCTCTTGCCCACTAAGTCTTTTTTGGGGTCAGAAACCTGATAGTGGGCAAGAGCGTTTCGGCTTGTTTTGGCCACGCCCAATGTTTCTCGAGGCCCGATTGACTGCCGCGGCGATTAATTAGC